AAATCTGGTAAGGTGAAGCCGCTCAAAGTGTGTGATGTAAAGACTGGAGCACATGTAACAAAAGACAAATTAATCCAGATGCAGCAAGCAGACACATCGTTGAAGAAGTATTATAATAAGAGAGAACCAGAAGTGAGAGGGCACCATACAACCAAGTTCCAGGTATATGGAAGCTTGCTATATTGTGTGTATTGGGATCGTTCAGTTCCAGGAGGCAAGACGGTACGTCAAGTGGTTGTGCCGAAACTGTTGAGGACTCGTGTTATGGAGATTGCCCATGATTCAATATTTGGTGGACACATGGGGATAAAGAAAAGACTAAAGACTTACTAAAAGACTTAAATTGCTTGGTGATCATGATGAACATTTTGTGTATCACATGACAAATGACTGTTACAAGAAGTACACATTGTGAAAAACATTAAATTTGCTAACAGAAAAAAGGAAAAAAAAGTGATCAGTCACCCTTAGCCGAATGCGCTGATGAACTAGAACTGCGTGGAGTGCGATCACGGGGTTTACCCCGTTCTCATCCTTGTCCTCGTTGTGACATCTACAGCCAAAAATGTGTAGTATGTATGCATGTCAAGCATCAAAATGTGTACGAACAATTTAGAATTTCAGAAACAGATAGGGCTAGGAAATTCTTAGAAGCTACTGTATTTCTACAGGATGATGTATATAGTCGCAAACGTGATTTACAAGATGAATATTCCATATTTGGAGCAGACCTATTCTTTCACAAACACTGCATCAGGACTTACATATCAACATTTGATGATCATGCAAAAGCAAAGCAAGGGGTTATTCAGCCAATTATACCTAAAAAGGGCATGGTCCACAGTGGTGCCAGATATAGAGACTGGGATTCGGAATTGTGATGGATATGAACTAAGTCAGGTCAGAGATCTTATAAACTGAACTCTGACATTAAGGTGAATAACAAAAAAGTGAAGGTCCTTTTAACTGAACACTTTCGTTCTGAGATTTCCTTTTCTCAGCCAAAACAAGTCAATAGATCTCAGATGTTTACAAGACAGGTTCTGTGATGCGAAAGACTTAGAAACTGCAATGCAAATATGGTTGTACCAGATCCACTCCTGAAGTTCTTTGCTGTATTGTATAACTTTGACATTGATTCATTTCCTATTGCTTCAAAACGGTTAGCTAAGGGTGTAGCTGGTTTCCCTGATGATGAGAACTGTGGTGTAGGGATTTCTGAACAAAAATGTAGACAAGTGCAAGGTCTAACTCAAACTTTGTATTATATTCTTCACCATGGTAGGAAAAGGACACCTTTGCATATGATGGCAATTTATGATGCATGCAAAAGGGCTACTTTGATAACAAGCTTCAACAGATATGGGCTATACATTATTTATGATGAGGTACAGCATTATCGCAATGATATGGGTAGATTTATAGTTGAGTCTAGTAGTGATGAGGTTCCCTTCCCAAGCTATTTTGGCAGTTCTCAGTTTACTATTGCTGCCTTTGATAATTTTGATCATGATGAGGCAACCCTATCCGGTATTGGAGGTAGTCGTGACACAGTGAGTGTGCTGTTCCAAGATGATGATAGCTCAAAGGTGGAAAAACCAAGGATGTCAGAGACAAGGACTGAGCATGGCCAAAAGACCTTTGATTGTGAACTCAAGTGCCAAGAACTTCAACCATTCTACAAACCGACTAAAAGGGACGACCTTTCAGCAGACTATGCCACTGAAACTCACCTAGTGGATCAGGACCTTCTGCAGGCTGTAAGGTCAAAGGATCTGGCTTGGTCTCTTGCTCGATTAGACTTGTCTGAAAACCAAACCTCCGTCAATATCAAACCGTCTGACCAGACTATGCCAGCTTGGAGAGAAACCAATGCTGTTTTATCTGAGAAAGACATTTCCCAGAAGAGAGTAAGTTTCCTTCCAGTTCTCCCATACCCCGTGACACAGTATGATACAGTCTATACTGCTCTAAAGAACGTCAATGGAATACTCCAGCACCTTGACGAGCAGAAGCTACCCGTGATGTGATGAGGGTGTCTACCACATAGCACGTGAAATCCAGTTGATTCGTCCAGAGAAATTTCAAGACA